GCGCTCTTTTCATTAAACCTTGAACATGCAGTCATGCAACGTGTATGCAAATAGTTTTTTCTCCTAACAGATTACCAAACACTTGCTACCTTGCATCACTTTTTCCACCATTTCATAGATTTGTGCGTTGCCATGGAGACTCTCTATATGTTATCAGAAATGTTCTCTATAGTCTTGTTGAACCATGTTTTATTTGAAAACATGGACAGGTTTGAATAGAGAGATGTAGCTTTTGGTTTGGCTCTTCTGCCGTTCTTGGCTCTTTGAGCGTTTTGTTTGCCTCTTACCTCGCAGTGTGTCCAAGTCAAATCTAAGCGTGTTTGCAGACTAAATGCTGGCAGGTCTGATTGGCTGATGAAATCCTCTTCTGCATTACAGGCTGTGAGAATCAAAATCAGAAATTACATGGACATCTTTGGTGAACATTGTTTTTGGGTCACTGTAACTGCAGTTTTATAGTCAACCTGAAACAATGTGATTTTGGTAGGGTTGTAAACCCAGGGTCGGAAGTTAACGGGGGGTAAAAATGCCACCAAAATAAACAAAAATATCACACAAATTCAAGATAAGGAGGCAAAATAGAAGCACAATTAATTATGATTATCACAATTAAAGTAAAAATTGTGAAAAAAAAAAGAAAAGTGTTGATGGCGGAATTAGATTTAGATCTGCTGCATTTCTATTCAGTTTTTGTAGCGTCGAGGTCTGTCAAAAAACAATTAAGAATGGAAGAGGATTGACACGCTACTAAACACATGAGGTTTCTCCAGAGTAATGCTTTAAAGGGACAGTTCACCCATACATGAACATTTGATGTTTATCTGCTTACCCCCAGGGCATCCAAGATGTAGGTGACTTTGTTTCTTCAGTAGAACACAAACGGAGATTTTTAACTCAAACCGTTGCAGTCTGTCAGTCATATAATGGAAGTGAATAGGAATCACGGCTTTGAGAGTAAAAAAAAAACATACACAAACAAAACCAAATGAAACCCTGCGGCTCGTGA